CTATCATTTCACTAACCATATAAGAACTGTAACCCTGAAAATAAATGTTGTCAGTTGCCTAAGAGAGCACTGTCCCCCAACCTCATTTCTTTTAGGTTGCCTCTCCTCCCCAGCAACCTGCAAGGTAAACTTGCACTGGCATCCCATATGAATGATGGGCCAAGTATCAGCTGCTCCATTTCTGCTCCAACTCCCTGCTAATATGCCTAAGAAAGCAGCAGAAGAGGACCTAAGTATTTTGGTCCATGCCAGCTATAAGGGAAAGTTGAGTGGAATTCCTGCCTTTTTGCTCCTGGCTCAGCCCCTGCCTTTGCAGCATTTAGGGGTGAACCAGAGAAAGAGTTCTTTCTCTCCCTCATCTCTCCCTAACTCTGACTTTAAACTGAACAAATAAATCTTTTAAAACATAGGCTTATTGTGTTAAATACAAAACCCTTGATTTTTTTCTTTTAAGATTTATTTATTCTTATTTGAAAAGCAAAAAGAATGAGAAACAGAGAAAGAAGGTCTTCCATCTACTGGATTACCCTCCAACTGGCCAGAACAGCCAGAGCTGAGCTGATCTGAAGCCAGGAGCCTCTTCTGGATCTCACCTGTGGGTGCTGTGTCCCTAAGGACTTTGACCATCTTCTGCTGCCTTCCCAGGCCACAAATAGTGGAGCAGCAAAGACATGAACTAGGACTCTTAAGGGGTGCTCCACAGTGTGGAGGATTAGCCTGTTGAGCAATTGTGTAGGGCCCATTTTTTTCATAGCATGCATTTTTAATGAACTTTTAAAAGACATGTTGTATATTCTATTGAGTTCTTCACAATTTTGAGAACGAATTTTACCATCTATTAAATGGGCATTAGGCTATTGCTCTTTACTACTTTAAAAGGTTTTGGGCCCAGCAGCATGGCCTAGTGGCTAAAGTCCTCGCCTTGAATGCGTCAGGATCCCATATGGATGGCGGTCCTAATCCCGGAAGCTCCACTTCCCTTCCAGCTCCCTGCTTGTAGCCTGGGAAAGCAATCGAGGACAGCTCAAAGCCTTGGGACCCTGCACCCATGTGGCAGACCTGGAAGAAGTTCCTGGATCCTGGCTTCAGATCGGCATAGCACTGGCCGACGCGCTCACTTGGGGAGTGAAATCATTGGATGGAAGATCTTCCTCTCTGTCTCTCCTCCTCTCTGTATATCTGATTTTCCAATAAATAAATAAATCTTTTTAAAAAAAGGTTTTAATAAAGTGTAATAGAAATAAATTCTGTGTAACTGTTGGGTATTACTTTTGTTATCAGGAATTTCTGCTCAAGAACACTTCAACACTATGCAAATAATAGGGCCTGGTACTGTGCTGTGGTTGCTAAAGTTACTCTCTGCAACAATGGCATTCTATATAGGTGGCAGTGTGAGTCCCAGCTGCTCTGTTTCTGTTCCAGCTCCCTGGTAATCACCTGGGAAAAGCAACAGAATGTGACCCAAGTGTTTGTTCCCATGGGATATTCAGATGAAGCTTTTGGCTTCTGGTTTTGGCTTGTCTCAGCTCTAGCAATAGTGGCACCTGGGAAGTGAACCAGCAGCTGGAAGATTCTTTCTCTGTCTCTCTCTCTCTCTAACTCTAATCTTCAATATATAAATCAATATTAGAGAAAATAAGCAACTATGTTTGATATAGCCAGCCCACCCACTTTCTGGTGGGTGCCACTCTCTGTCTAGCCATGCCTGCCCCAGTCGTGGTTCTCATGCTCACCAATGGGAGTGGGAACCCAAGAGGGAGTTGTCTACTGTTTCCCTTCTGGGCCCACTCCCACTCCTTGATCTTGCATTCTGCATTCACCTTGACAGATTGCCCCCTGTGCCAGCATCTGTCAGCTGATGCTGCAACAAAGCCCAGCCAAACCACACCCACTCTGGTTTATACATGTCCCAGAAGGAACAGTCAACCCAGCCTGGCATTTCCCTAATCCAGCTTTATGGGGCCCACAGGTGTTATAGCCCTGCCCAATCTCATCTACCCTCATCCCAACTCACACCATAGTGGGAGTGTTGGTCCAGCAGGGGAGCCACACACAGTCCCCAAAACTGCTTCACCTCTCCACCCTTGGTCTCACATGTGCTGGTTGGGTGTTGTGCTCCAGTCTGGCATGGTCTGCCTCACCTTGGCGTCTGCCAAGGGGTGCTGTAGCATAGCTGAGCCTGGCCCACCTCCAATTCCAGCTTTCACTAGTGGGGGTTATAGCTTAGCCTAGTCCAGTCACACCTTGTTCTGGTCCTTATGTGAACTGGGTTGTGTTGCGACCCAACCTGGCTTGATATACACTCCATTCTGGTGCTTGGATTTGCCGGTGGGTGATATGAACTGCCTCAGCCTGGTTCGCTCCCGACCTGTTCCAAATGTATGCTGGTGGGTACCATTTTCTGGCCTGGTCTGGGTTGCTCCTTATTGTGGTTCTTGCACTCACCTGCATGGACTGTGTCCTGACAGAGGAGTTTTCCAAGCTCCTCTATCAGTGGGTCCATGGATCAGCCCTACTTATTCTACCTCCTGTCCTAGCAGGAACAGTGGCCTGTCCTGACTGGCCTTCACCATTCCAGTTCTTACTGTTGGGTGTTACAGCCCAGACAAACCTGGCCCACACTCAGACACAGTTCTCATGTGGCTCAACAGGGGCAAAGACCTAGCCTAGCCTGTCCTACACCTACCCTGGTTCTCACGAGCACCGGTAGGTGCTCGTGTCTGGCCCAATTCGACACACCCAAGACCTAGTGACACTTGTGCCAAGGGACACTGCAGCCATGTCTGATTTCCAAATCAGATAGCATCCCTAATTCTGGTCTTCACATTAAATAGTGGGAACCACAATCCAGCCAGGGCATTCTCTTTGCTCCCCAACCAGGTCTGTTCCCATAGATCTTGCATGTGCCAATGGTTGCTCTGACCCAGCTTGGCATAGTCCCTCACATTTTTTGGCCTTTGCCTTTGGATGCTGTAGCCTGAACTGACCTAGCCTGCCCCTGGTCCCAACTATTGCTGGTGGGTGATGAAACCTGGCCCTTCTCAGTTTGCTCCATCCCTGGCTCATGTAAACTGGTAGGTGTGACAGCCTAGCATGGCATGACCTGTGCTCCAACCAGTTTCTGCATTTGCTGGTGAATTAAGGTTTGCTTGGCCCTACCTGGTCCACCCCTTCCAAAACCAAACTACATATTAGCCATTAGTTGGTGCTACCTTGCCCAGCTTTCTCCAAGGCCTGCACTATCGGGGTCCCTCGTCCCGCGAGCAAGACCCCGATACTGTAAAGAGTCTTAAAAAAGTTTATTGGTCAAGACTTCAAGCGTTGTGGCAAAGTGAAAGCAGTTACAGCACTTGTAAGATTTATTACAGTAAAGCAAAAGCAGCCTAGTGCTAGCTAGCAATAGCCTTGAAGTGATAGCGATAGCTCTAGCTCTAGCCTTGAAGCGTGCCTGGTGGAATCTCCTCATTAACTATTTTTCACCCAGACCTTTTTATATTACACAAACCAATCCATACACAGTTCCTCACGTCATGCGATAAACACACCAATCATGACTTAGGTCACGTAGCTTCCCTACGTGCTCGGCCCAATCCTCAGTAACTTCCCAAAACCTGTTTACCACCTTTGTGCCACGAAGCAATGGTCAGCAAGCGCCATCTTTGAGGCGCGGCTCCGCTCTCCACACTGCACCACATGCTCACCAGTGGGAGCTATGACCCACCAGGGAAGTTTCCAGGTTTCCCCCAACTTGGCCTACTCCCAGACCCAAATCTCACACATGCCAGTAGGTGCTAGGTCCTTGGCTGGCATAGCCTGCTCCTCCATCCTGGTCTTGTATGAGCTGGTGAATGTTGTGGCCTGACCTGCCCCAAGCCCTATTTTAGGATGCACATGCGGATGCTGCAGCCTGGGCCTGCTCAGACTATTCTTGGCCCCTGTACCCATGAGTGTTGGCAGGTTCCATGGTCATACCTAGCTCAGCCTGTCACCACCCCTACTCTTGAGATAAACAGCTGGACTTGTATTTCCACAGGGTTAGGCCCACATTTCCCCCACAGAATCTACCCTCAGACATAGTTTACTTGCTTGCTAGTTGGTGACATGATCCTAATGTGATCCATCCCCTGTCCCAACATTCAGTCTATAACTGCAATCTAGCCCTGCCAGATAGGCCTCCAATCCCAGCTTTCATGTGGACTGGTTTGTGGTAGTCAGCCATGTTCCATGCTAAGAAGTCCTACTCAGGACTCCAGTACGGGCTGGTGTATCAATCTGACCCATACAGATATTCCGGTTTTTCTTCTCCAAACCACCAGATCTTAATCCCCTTGCTTACCTGCAAGTATAGTGGCAAGTATAGCCATTGTGTTTCCCTCAGGATTAATTCATCACCTACATGAATGTACAGTGGCCATAATCATGGATGCCCCTAGATAGTAATTCCACCCCCTTAAGAACCAAGAACTCACTCCTGGGAAGCCACTGGTTGAAGCCTGGTACCGGTTGGCACTGTGGCTCTCTACAAGCCCTGAATTCGCCCACTGCTTGGCAGTAGTGGCTGGGGATAGGGCACCAAGCATTGAGTCTGATCTAAGATGCCTCCAGCAGTCACCATGCTGCTGAAAGGTCTGTCCATCCAAGGCCTGAGGATGAACTCACCTGGCCCCTAGTCCTGTGTTTCTAGCAGCCCAATTCATAATAGCATACTAAGTAAATGATAATATATTCTTCGTTCCCACATTAAAAGAAGGAGAAATAGAAGTGAGTAGTAAGTACTCTTGGCATACTAGCAATGCATAGATCTTAACTTGATTGAGAACCAAAAACTTATTTAAATAATTGTTCGCATTCTTGGTATATATACTGTACTTCAATAAGATGTTTAAAAAGTCATTCATTTTAATCATATAATGAATTTACAAATGCTCCCAAGTAGAGTGGGACTATCAGCGAGAAACCAAATAATCTATTAACTTTTTCCTTAATAATATCATACTTACTAAGCAGTAGCTCCATCTTCTATGCATGTCCCACCATTGCCACATTTCATTACATGACAAGGAGATGCATCACACTGGCCAACAGTGCGTCCAGCGAATGGGTGTCCCTCAGGATTTCCCAGTCCCCTGAAATGGCTATCCTTCTCAGTACGAACTTGAAGAGTGAAAATGCAACCTTGAAGAAAGGTAGAAACAATTCATATTAACAACAAGGAAAATAAAAGGAAGCCAGAAGACATGCATTTTTCATTTAAAAAATAATAGGTTTTCAGAATGAAGAAATAATCCTTATAAAAAATACAAAAAAGAAGTACAAATATTAAAAAACATCCATAATATCAGTGCTTCAGAGAAAAAATCCTCTTTTTTGTAGGTATATAATTTATTTACTATAGCACAACAAAGCAGGAAATGAGTATATAGGACATATATTCTGCATGTGCTGAAGTAGTTACAATAAAGCCTTCTGGAGCCATGAGTCATGCATATATTGGAAAGTAGGACTAGAGGAAGAAGGTATTGAAACTAGAACAGAGGATTATCTAGAAGATTTTCCCTGGCTGGAACTCAGTTGTATGGTTAGAGATAGCTACAAAAGCGTCTAGAATATATTCTAACCAAAGCAACTTCTGTCACAAGTACATACAATGTGAAGATGCCAGTCCAAGTATGTGAAGATGTATTTTAAGTCTAAATTTATGGGAAGTTTCCACCTTCAGGTGAGATTGTCATTCCAATCCTCACTGGCCATCCTAGGCTGCTGTCTGTACAAAAGGAATCAGCCTTCTATTTTACGGAGCCCTAGGACTCTCCAATGGCAGAGCTGAGCTGGATGCCCATGAACTCAACGTTTTGAAGATATGGTTAAGTGGAAAACTTAATTGTGTCCTTTCAACATTAAAACAGAGGTAGTACAAGTTTCTTAGGGGGGCTGCTTCAGTGGTTTAGCAGGCTGATATTCCTCCCTGGGGCAACAGCATGCAACATGGGGACTGTTTTGTGTCCTGTGACCTATGAAAGCAGTGGAGGAGAGCCCAAATCCTTGGGACCCTGTACTCATCTGTGAGACCTGGAAACAGCTCCTGGATCCCAGCTTTGGATCCACTCAGCTCTGGCTGTTGTGGCCATTCACAAATTTGGATGCAAACTGAAATCCATGCTCAGGTTTTTTTTTTTCCCCCAATCATACATATTTCCCACCAACTTTTTAAAGATCTCTCAAATATTTTCTAGGTACACGATTACAAAAGGGAGTAATGCTAAATCGGAAAAGGTCTGAGACTGCAAGACTCTGGTGAAAGGCCAGAGTGGGCTTTTATTGAGGAGGTGGACTTTGAACTGGAATTTGAGGAGTAAAGAAAGATGTCGGGAAGCTCAGGCTCTGGTAAATTAAGACACAAGGGCAGTGATTAAATGCTGTGAGTCCATTTGGTGTGCCCACTTAATGGTGTGTGTGCCCAGACATTTGGCCAAACATTATTCTGGCTGTGTCTCTGAGGGTGTTTCTGGAAGAGACTAACATCTGAATTTATAGAGTGATTAAAGCAGACTGCTCTGCTTATGTGGGCTAGACTGATTTGATCCACTGAAGACCTGTAGAGAGTGAAAGGACTGAGTAAGAGGGGACTCCTCCAGCCTGACTGTTGGATAGGACAGTGCTCACTCCAGAGTTCAGCACTTGGAATAGAATAGAGACTTTTTGGGTTTGGAAGTTTGTGGCTCCCAGACTGTAATATACCTGAAGTTTCTCTTCATTCTCAGGCCTTTCAAATCAAACTGGTTTTTTGCTTGCTGATGGCCTTTGAAACTGCATGGGCCAATTCCTCAAAGTAAATGTTTGGCTGGCATATGTAAATTATTTCATTTGGTCTACCTCAAAATCTTCATGATCATTAAAGGTTTTATGGAAAACAATGGTTTATTATATACCATTTTCAGGACAAAAACATATGGTCTTTATGAGCAGTAAGGGTTGCATTTTATAATGCCTACTTTTGTATTAGAGCTATTTATCAAGAAAGTTCATACATTAGCATTTAAAACCTTTTTTTAGGGCACAGCATGGTGGCCTAGCAGCTTAAGTCCTCGCCTTGAACACCCGGGATCCCATATGGGCGCCGGTTCTAATCCCGGAAGCTCCACTTTCCTTTCAGCTCCCTGCTTGTGGCCTGGGAAAGCAGTCGAGGACGGCCCAAAACTGTGGGACCCTGCACCCATGTGGGATGCCCGGAAGAAGGTACTGGATCTTGGCTTTGGATCAGCATAGCATCGGCCGTCGCACTCACTTGGGGAGTGAATCATCGGATGGAAGATTTTCCTCTCTGTCTCTCCTCCTCTCTATATATCTGACTTTCCAATAAATAAATAAATCTTAAAAAAAAATAAAACCTTTTTAAAAAAAATGTATTTATTTGGAAATTAAAGAGAGAGAGTGTAATATCTTCTATCCACTGGTTCACTCTCCAGATGGCCATGATGGCCTGGGCTATGGCAGGTCAAAACCAGAAGCCGGGGGCTTCATTTGGGTCTACTACATGGAGGTATAGAAATGTGGTATGTCAGATTAGCACATGGTGTACACAGAGAGGCCTAGGCACCAGAGCCATCACCCTCTGCTTTGCTAGGCAGATCAGTAGGGAGCTTGCTTAGAAATGGAGCAGCCAGAACTTGAATTAGTGCCCATGTGGGTTGCTGGTGTTACATGCAATGTCCTAATCCATTATGCCATGATGCCAGCCAGTTTTAAAACTTGAGGTTCTTAAGAGAGAGGGAGGGTGGGAGTGAAGGAGGAAAAAGGAGAGGAAAAGTGAGAGCGAGGGAGGAAAGGAAGTGAGGAAGACAGGGAAGGGAGAGAGATTGAGAAGAGCCTTTTGTGTGTTGGTTCACATCCCAAATGTCTGCAAGGCCTGGGGCTGGGGACCTGAACCAGGCTAAGACAAAAATTGGGAGCCTGGAAGTCTCTTATATGAATAGTAAGATTCAAATTATTCAAGCCAACATTGATGCTTCCAACATCGGCATTAGCAGGAGCTGGAGTGAGGAACCAGTGGAAGTCACAGAATGTAGGCACTCTAATACATCACACAGACATCTTAACTAATAGACCAAATATGTGCCGCCAGAAAATCCTTGCTGTGTGGTCTGTTAACCATTCAAAACATTTAGTGATAAAACTCGATGCCCTCTGCTGGTCTATATGAGCTGGCTGTCACGTCCCCCATGTGCATCTGGACATATTGACCATTGCAAAGGCATCAGCAACTGAGGAGGCACAGTCCTGACACAAGAATTGTTACTAAATTTAATAAACCTAGTTAGTAAATTCTTCCACAACATTGTATTTGATCAATTCATATAGTAGCTTCCAAATCTGGCAAATTTTGTTAAATAAACATTTTTAGACTCTCCCTCTCTAGAGATTCAATTAATTAGTCCTGGGATAGGGTCCAGAAATATGGATTTTTAAATTTAAAAATATATATGTATTTTAAAGAGCTACACAGAGAAAGGGAGGGACAGAGAAGGAGAGATCTTTCACCTACTGATTCACTCCCCAAGTGGCTAAAACAGCCAAATCTGGGCCAGCCCAAGCTGGCCTGGAGTTTCATCTGAGTCTTATGTATGGCTACAGGGGCCCAAGTCCCTGGGCCAACTTCTGTAGCCTTCTCCATGAGCATTAGCAGGGAGCTGATTCAGAACTGGAACTGGAACAGCTAGGACTTGAACCGGTGCCCACACAGGACGTTTGTGTCAGAGGTAGTAACTTTAGCTACTATAGCACAATGCTGGCCCCAAGAAATATGTATTTAAATGTTTTAAATTTTATTTTTAACATTGTTTACATAGTTGACAGGAATGCATTTACATGTGGGTCTCCTATTGGGGTGGGAAGGATTGAAGTTTGCTGGAAGGTGGGTGGGACAAATGTTTAAAATTTTTTTTTTCCTGTGTTTTTCAGGAAGGGAAGAAGAGGGGGCCACTCCTTGATGTCAAGCTATTAACAGTACCTGGGGATGGGGGATAGTCATTGGATGATGCCTCAGAGATCCTTAAGTAGGAGAGGGTTTTCTAAGGGTGTAACTTAAATGGTTTTGATAATTCTGAGATGTCACTGGCTTCATTGAACCAGGTTTGAGAAAGTGTTTCCAAGGTATGTTGGCTGCCCAGGTCCACCTTAGTGCGTCATTGAGCCCAGGAACATGTTGGAAAACTTGCCCAGTAGAGTGTTCTGATCTGTTCTGCTTTCCATCCTAAGATAAGACACTTGATATCCCCTGCTGGCTAGATGAGCTGACTCTCATGTCCCCCTAATGCACATGGGCATGCTGACCACTGCACAGCATTAGCAACTGATAAGGCCCAGTCCTGACACTTGTACACATATTTGTGATTTTCCCTATGGCTGGGGTTTGAGTCCAGTGGCCTAATTGGGGAATTACTTAAAAAACCTCACCTTGGGTGACCTCAGACTTGACTTTTGGGTGGGCCTGCTAGTGCAGGGTCAGGTTCAGTTTGTCACCTGCACTAGCCAATGTACATATCAGTGAATATAGCTTCCTGGTCAGTTCTGCCCCCAGCCCCATTCTCATGTGAACTTATGGAATCCATGGCCTAACCAAATCCAGCCTGCCACAGGTCTGGTCTTCAAGAAGACCAGTAGGTGCTGCAGCCTAGTTGGGGTGACTCCCAATAACCCCTACTAGCACTATCAGCAGCTCCGGTTTTTGTGCATGCCAACATGTGCTGCATGCCTAGCCTGCTTTGTCCTGTATCCAATCTGGCTCTTGTGCAAACCCATTGGTACTGCAGCTTAATTCAGCTCACTTTGCCATCGGGGACTCAGCCCCACATATGATGACAGGTGTTACCACCTTGCCCAGCTTGATCTGCCACCAACCCTGGCTTTTGTGCTCATCAGTGGATGCTGCAGCCTAGCAGAGGAGAGTACACAGTTTCCTTACCAGGCCTCTTCCCAGCCCTAGATTTTGCACTTGCCAGGAGTACTGAGCTCCAACCTAGCATGACTTGCATTCAATCCTGCTACTTTCCAGCAGGTGATGCAGCCTAGCTTGTTTGGACTGACCCCAGACTGGGCTTCCCAAGTCACAGAATTCATGCTCACCAGTGGACACAGCAGCCCAATGATGCCTTACCACAGTCAGCCCTGGGTGTTTTGCATCCTGGTGAGTGTTGCAGCCAAGTGTTGCAGCCATTCACCAGCAGCTGCTACAGCTTAGCTCAGCACAGCCTACCTGCAGTCCCAGCTCTAGCGGGTATAGCACCCTATCCAAGCCTGGATCACCCTGAGAGCCAGGGAGCTGGGAGTCCTCATGTAAATTGGTGGGCGTTGCAGTCCAACCTGGCTTTGCCTGTGCCCTGTCCTGGCTCTTGGTCATGCCAATGTGTGCTGCGGACTGGCCCAGGCTGGTGTGTGCCCAGACCCGGTTCATACATATGCTGAACAGTGCTGCAGCCTTGCCTTGCTTGCTCTGCCTCCAATATTGGCTGTTGCATCTAGCAGGGGAATTCCTCAAGTTCTGCTCCCAGCCAGAGATCTCATGTGCACCAGTGGGTGCTTTAGCCCTGCCTGACATGGCCAGGCCCTAGTCCTGGCATTCACTGGCAGTCCTGTAGCCAAGTCCTACTGGCCTACATACATTCCAGCTCCCACTGGTAGGCGCTATAACCTAGCTCAACCGATTTTCACCTCCCAACTCTAATGTGAACCAGTGGATGTTGTGGCATAGTTGGTCCTGTCCTACATCCATTCCCATTCTGGATCTCACAAGTTCTAGAAGGTGCTGGATCCTAGCCTAGTCTGACCCTCCCACCAATCCCAGTCCACATGCATAGCAATGGGTGTTATAGACTTGTTCTGCCCAGCCTGTCTGCAGCCCTGGCTCTCGCACTTCCCCATGTGAGACTCAGCCTAGTGGGGGAGTTTATAAGGTTCTCCTATCAGGGCTATTCCCAACTGCAGATCTTACATGTGCTGGTGTGCAGGTGGCATGGCCCACCTGCAGTATCAGCTCTTGCTGGTAGGTGTTGCAGCCTAGCCCATCTGGGTATGGTCCATATCCTATCGTGGTTCTTGTATGCATCAGTGGGTGCTAAGGCCTGACCCAGCACGGCCTGGCCCAAACAAATGCTGATGAGTGCTGCAACCTTGCCTGACTTGGACTACACCAGGCTTAGCTATTATGCTTCCCAGCAGGACCTGTGACCTAGCAGGAGAATTTCCCAAGTTTCCCTACCAGGCCAGCTCTCAATCCTGAATCTCACATGTTCAAGTGGGTGCAGTGGCCCTGCTTGACATGGTCTGTCCTCAGTCCTGGCATGTGCTGGCAGGTGCTGCAGCTTGATCCAGCCTAGCCTCTTCCCAGTCCCAGCTCCGTGAGTGTCAGGTGGGTTCCTTTCAGGTGAGTTTTGTGGTCCAGCCAGACTTGTCCTTTCACTACCTCTGCTTTCTGTGCAAATCGGCAGGTGCTACAGTCCCACAGAGGTGAGCTCACAAGTCCCCCATGGAATCTGCCCCCCAGATCCACGTATTTCATGTTCTGGTAGGTGCTGTGGCTAAGCCTGATTTGGTCCACACCCTGCTCTGACTCTTTTGGGCAGGTACTGTGGCTTAGCTAAGCCAGGCATGCTCCCAGTCCCAGCTCTTGCATACACCAGTGGGCAGTGGGTGATGTTATTTAGCCCTGTCCATGTGCTGACCTGACTTAGACATGCAATCCATAGAACAAAATAGGCAACTTTGCTGGCACATGGGAAGGTTAATGCAAATTTAGCATTAACCAGGCCCAGAATGCCCACAGCCTTGGCAGATTTTCTCCCACCAATGTAACATTTGCCTAGGTACCAGACAACCCAGCTTATAGCTGGGGAAGAAATACGTATTTTTATGAAGCTAGCCTGTATCAGTTTTTAGAGCCAGTAGAGATAAGATTTTGGGAACTATAGGTTTATGATACAGTTATAATCTAGTTATTACAATACATTGGGATAATAATTTTCCATGATTTTCAGTAACTAGTAAAAGCTAATTAAAATGGAGAGACAGTAGACATCAAGAGAAAATTCAAGAGGTGAATGACAACATGAGAGACTTCCAAGGTTCTAATTCTATGAGATTTTCAAGTCAGTGGCCATAACCAGCAAGACCCAACCAAGATTCCCATTCTAAGTAAGAATCATGGCAGTTGACATGTTTCCAGGAGTAGGGTTTTTATGTCAGGTCAACTATGCATGTGCCAAGTTCAGATTTGTGGCTAGGTTACAGACTGAAATCTCACAGCTGCTATAATCTACATCTGAAGACAGCCTTATCGCATACTCTGCTCTTAACCGCTTTAGTACAGCAAAGAGTAAAACAGAGGAGCCTGATTGCAGTTATACCACCCGTGCCTCCAGAAATGTTTTCGTGCCTAAAATAGAGGACTGACTCTAAACCAGGCACTATTTTTGTGCTCTCTCTATTGATTCATTTGCAGAATTATACAAGAGAAGTACTATTATTTCATTTTACAGGTGAGGTATGGGGAGCTTAAGTGACTAGTCAGGATCACGAAACTTGTTGGTGGCAGAGCTAGGACATATACCCAATAGTTGGATTACAGAATCTGCACTCTCAGAACATTTGTGTATAAGCAAAAGTCAGTGAGAGTGAAGAAAAGGATGCTACAATATTGACAGAGATGTAAGTTCCTGAGACGGTGCTTGAAGGCAGCTCTTGTGTCACAGTGATGTTCATCCTATTCTGTCCCCTATTCCTTGACGTCAGATGGGGAGGAAGCTGGATGAGGGAGGGAGGCTGAGGACAGCAGATGAGATCTTGGTGCAAATACATTTTGACTAGTACCATTCAAAACATTTATTTGCACCAAATAACCACTATAATCATTCAAAGTACATATTTTATACCTCCACTGTGAGTCAGACTTATGGGGAAGATCTGGGCTTATGTTACTTTTTAAATATAGACAGACTATGGCAGTACAATTGTTCATCCAAGTACAATATCTCCATTTAATCCTTTTGGTTTGGGGTGGCCTCTGTGGGTCATACTTTGGTGGTATGAATGGGTTGACAGAAATCTGTCTAGTCATATGTATCGAGTATATTACAAAGCAAGGTGGACTTTTAATTTTTGCTATGATCTCATGAGATCTCTGCTGTACACCCCAAACTCAAAGCACTGTGTACATGCACAAAAGTCACCCACAGTCCTGGTTCCTTCATATATATATACTTCATCTACATTTCCTTTTTTCTCAACAGTGTTTATCATATATGTCACTATGTGTTTCATTACATTTACTATTTGCTGTCTGGTTTTCTTCTCTCCAACTTGAATGTAAGGGTATAAATAGAGGAATTTTTGCTTTGTTTCTTTAAAGCATCCTAAAGCCTTATAGACACATCATAAATGATCAATGACAAATGAATGCTATTACTTAGATTATACTTTGATCAAGTCTTATTAGAAAAGTCCACATAGCTGGTTTGGGAACCACAGGTACATTCTTTAAGAACTTTTTCTTTTCTCTCTGTTTGAAACAAGTATTTATAGTACAAAAGTTAGAGTGTGCCTTACCTTGAAAGCCATTTTTAAAAGAGGCTCCATTTGGTAAGAGGTCTGGAAGGTATTCAGTGTAACCACCTACGTAAAACTCACTAAAGACATTGAGTCCAACCAGTCTTCCTGGGGAGATAATGGACTTATTTTTGTGGTCATCTACCTTCAAAAATAAAAAGAAAACTCAAATCAATTTAAAAGGAATTACTTCTCTTCAGTGAATTAATTCCCCAGGGTGAGCTGTTAAGATATTCTTTTATTATTTTCCATTAACTTGGCATGAAAAATTTACAAAGACATGAATTCTGATGAAATGAAAAAATGACACCACTCAACTCTCTGCTGGTGTCTGTTAGCACAGATAATTAATATACAGTCATGGTTTTGCATTTCAATCAAAATCACAGTTCTTCAAAGATTAAAAGCTGGCATCCTGCTGGCACTCCTGTCTAGCTTTGCTTCCTCTTGTATCCAATTTCAATATATCCACTAGGTCATTTATAAAAACTAGAACTCAACCATGCTGCTTAACCCCCTTTTTGAGTATCTCTGCTTAACTCTAAGAATCTAAAAATTTTTTAACATGAATCTTGATCATGTATATCTCCTCTACATTTAATCACATATCTTGCTGTCTGAAAAACCACACTGAATTATTTTCCCTTAAGCTCACACTGGCTACCGTTCTTTCCCCTAACTCCTATTTGCCTGAAGTTGTGCACAAGTATCTCCTTTTCCTAGGTAACATTTCCCAGCCCCATTCTGTTATCTTTGTCTATCTAATGCCTTGCACATTTTTCACATAAGTTTATCACAATCAACTTTTAGACCCCATTTAGTTAGTGTACTATCTGTGAACTTCATAGACATAAAGGGGTATTTGCCTCTGTACCTTGGTATAGGTCTGACAGCATCTTACAACTTAGCAAATTTGTAGAAAAATGAAAGGATGACTCTACCTTTAGCCAGCCTTTCCTGAGGGATCTGCCCAGATAGACAGTGTGGATTTCAAGGTTCAGGTCAAGGGGCTCACTCTTGACACTTGCTAAACCAGAACCTAGGTTATAGTTGTACACCACACAGCCATCAAGCAGGCCCACTGCCAGGAAGTCATCTCCATCCAACCCTGTAATGAGAAGACACAGAGTGAACATTAATTGAGGAGAAACTCAGGAGTCCCATCTGCTTTGTTTACTGTCTGATTTGGAATTACAGTCCTGTTTGGTTCTGAGTTCTATTGGCTGTTAGTACTTGCACTCTCGGCCGTCATTGGCCCCAAGAACAGAGCATTAGTAGTCCATTTCAATGAATATTCTGGTCAACCCAGGGAATGATGAATACTTTGAAAAGGTCAACAGGATTCAAATTTCCTTTTGTGTGAATGACATTTAATTTGTATGTTACAATTAATACTTTGTAGTGGAATGAAGTGCTTTGCGAGTTAAAGAGCTCAAAAGATTGAGATAACTTGCTATCACCTTTGAATTTCAATGATTGAACAAAACGTAAAGAACAACTGATTTCTATGGTTGCTCAGAGTATGTTGTCATTGTTTTACTGCAAAAACTCCTCTGACTGTGGTCCCTACAGCCAGTTACAGGTGGTGTGTTTCTGCGCTTTCTCCTTTCTCTTTCTCCTTCCATTACTTCAGTAGGACAGCTAGTTGTGAACATCAGAGCACTTGGCAGACAGCTCCCATAGACACATGGCAATAAGGAAGCAGTTAGGAGAGAGACAGCTAAAACCACTAGAGGCTTGGTGGGACTACAATGTTCTGGGATGGTCAGTAGCTATAATAGGAATGTGCACAGCTTCTACGTTCTGTACCTGAACGGTGATACCTTGTCTAATAACTTGTCTTCTATTATTAGTCTGGTCAAGCTGAAAGAGGGAAAGGCAAGTAGAAATGGGAGCGTTCAGACTGTAGGATGATGAAATTCCTAAGGCCCTGGGGAACTGCAGGCAAAAATTACTTTAAGATGCTTGAACTCTGCTTCTGCTTTTCTAAAGGGATTACCATGGCCTCTATGCATCTTTTTTTTTTTTAGAAGTGTCTTCCCTAACACAATTTAATATGCAGTCATTTTTGAGAGTGACTGTGTTACATGACATACCATTGATCAAGTATATTGGGAGCCTGCAGTAAATGTTTCTATTTTTCTCACTCTCTCTCTAGGGATGTCCTCCCATCCACACGATTGCAGCAGGTTAGCTGGACTGTATATTTACAATGGATAGAAATCCCAAGAAAAATACAAATTTGGGAAGATAGAAAGGCTGAAAGGATAGTTGGGGGTCCCAAAACAGAAGGGATCAGAAGAGAAACAAACAAAAAAGCACTTGGTACCACAGATGGACATATGTGCGCAGAAGTCTCGGATACAACCTCTGTGGAGGAGCAGAGGAACTAGAAGAAAAAGTGACCACCCCAGAGAAAGCTGAAGAAGCAAAATTAAAAACAAGATCTTTCCCTGGGCCAAAAACCTGGAAGTTCAGATTTCCGAATGAAACAATTACAGAAAGAACAAAACCACTTTGATTCTAGGGATTACAACATGACAAAAGCAAAAATGAATAATCAACTTCCTGCTGGTAGCTCTAGATAAAACAGAGGTCATTAGCGAACACTTTCCAACTCCACAAGACCTTCCTTACTGGAAACCAGGCCTTGTTGCTAGCAAGCTAGCTGGCTGTTTAAAAGAGTTGCACTACATGAATCTCCTAATTCCCATTTTATTTCTCCTTACTAAATCACCCATCCATCTCTTACTTCCTTTCATCCTGTAAGTCATTTGAAACTGATAGCTTTTCAGGCAGTGGTAGTATGTGTGTGATGCTATTGTAAGGAAATATACATGTGTAGTGTTTCTGATTAATTAAAAAGTGTTCTGATGAAAAATACATGTAAGAGTAACATAATTTACTTGAAAATAATTGTATATATTATTTCACTCCTGGTATAGATTTTAACAAGTGGCCAGTTTTATCGATTTAAACGTTTGACTTTATTTACTTCATCTTAATTATGGCATTGGATGTTACTCTTATTTAACATAACCTGTATCGTATTGATTTCTTTAGGACTTTATAAACAGAAGTTTAAGAGTACATGTTAGGGACCCGGCATGGTGGCGCGGTGGTTAAGGTCCTCACCTTGCACGCCCGGGATCCCATATGGGCGCCGGTTCTATCCTGGCAGCCCCGCTTCCCTTCCAGCTCCCTGCCTGTGGCCCGGGAAAGCAGCAGAGGACGGCCCAAAGCTTTGGGACCCTGCACCCGCGTGGGAGACCCGGAAGAGGCTCCTGGCTTCGGATCGGCATAGTATCGGCCCGTTGCCCTCAGTTGGGGAGTGAATCATTGGATGGAAGATCTTCCTCTCTGTCTCTCCTCTCTGTATATTGGCCTTTCCAATAAAAAAATAATAAAAATAAATCTTAAAAAAAAGAAGTACATGTTATATGAAAAGTCACATTCTGGTGTTTCTTATTTGATGTTAATACCTAACAGGTGCCATGGAAATTAGCATCCTTACTCAGTTCTGAATTCACTTTTATGCAATTTTTGTGAGTGTAATTGTTTCGCACATACAAAAAAAAAGAAGAAAAAAATCACTAGGGATTTGGTACATTCTTTTAGGCAGCTATTTAGATATAGAATAAATTGAGAGAGATGTTTATGGGAGGAAAATTGTGAGATTTGTCAGTGGACCATGAACAAGAAAACAATGACAAATTCTAATGGAGAGCTGAATTGTATTTCAGATTATTGGGGTTGTTGGAATGGAGTGGGCATTCTGTTGCCTAAACTATAGGAGAGTGAGATGGACCATATCCTTTTTTCTGTCTTCTTGTCACTCCTCATTCCTCCACTCGAGGAGAATATATTTTACATTGTCTTTCAGTCCCTCAACAGCCTAACTAGAGGGACCAAGCATGTTTAAGCCCCATAGGAGTGGCAGGAGCAGGTGAGCAGTCATTAATATGGAGTGAAAATGAGGGTTTGGAAATTCAAAAGGAGATCATACTTGAGGTGACTTCTGAGTTAATCTACAAAACAAGGCAGAGTTTGCTGCATAAATTGGGGGGAAATGAGATGCAATGAAGCACACCATCTGAAGCAAAAGGCATATCACTGTACAAAACCAGAAAAAGCACAGATGGACATGACGTGCTTAAGGAGCTGCTAAGAGCAGTGCCTATGTGGGATTTTATTGTCAGCAGCAGGAGAGGAAACAGAGAGGGGAAAAAGGGTGTGTCTGTCAGGGCTTCCTATGCTACAAGAATAACTTCCATCTCCTCCTTCCCTCCCTCCCTCCCCCGCCTTCCTCCCTCTCTCTTCCTCCCTTCCTTCTTTCCTTCCTCTGTTCTTCCTTTTCTTCCTTCCCTTCTATTTTTATAAATTTTTTTAAATAAGGGAGGTAATAATATCACAATTTTCTGAAGGAAAAAAATGAGATTTAATGAGGAAGTACCACCACAGTATAGACTTAGCACATAGAAGGTATTCAATAAACGCATGTTTATTTCCCTTTGACTGTGGTCTGGTTATAGCTTCATATATCTCATTCCCTACTTGTTTCATTAATACAAAGTGTTGGAAGTAGGTATTCCTGGCCCCATCCTGTAGCACATATCTGCTCCCAGTTAATGTTTGGGGTCAGAGAAGGCATCAAAATTTTTCCTTTCTCCTAAAGGCATAGTCCTGATTACTTTAATGCATTACTGTGATCCAAATAAATAAATGGGGAGAGTCAAGCCTGGAAGTGATGTGAAATAACTTAAAAGTATGATTTGTTGGCATCCATTTTCATGATTTATGTCATTTTCTTGTTATTCTAACAATGGGAATGTCTTAATACCACATAATAAAATAAGCAATAGCATATGAAATAACTACAAAGTGTTTTAAAATAAATTCACTCTCTAATTCTCTGTTCTGTTAGAACAATGAATAGAGATGTGGAAAAATTTTCATTTGCTAATTTAAAAAGCAACAGGTCATATTCCACATTTACATTATTATATAGACATATTCAGTGATAGACATAGTGAGAGCTTTTTCATGAACAGAATCAAAACTGTACTCATTTGTAAGCAGAACTGATGGTGAACCTTAATGAAACGAGGCTTAGGGGAGATTTTCAGACAAGGTGAGGGATCCTTAGGGATATTACCTCAGAGCTGGCGCTAAGAAGGAAGGATTCAGACGGATTACATTGTGCAAGTTGTAGGAAGGGGAGGAAAGAAACAATAGAGGATGACTCTAGATGAACAGTAGTTAAGAATAACAAGATCTGCAAAGTTAATAAAAAAAACCCTTTAGAATGCACAGAAAACAAAAACTATGTGGTTTCTCTTTGGAAAAAAAAAAGTCATGACTCAATTCTACAAATACTATTAAGCAGAGGCTTCAGAGAGGGTGTGTTGTGTGAAGGCACGCTTGGCATTACAACAATTCACAGAGGGAATCTCATGGGGGATGAGGATGAAGGGTTGCAGGCACAACAGCATCTGAACTTATAATGGAGAAAAACGGTGATTCCTTAATGGAAGCCAGCGCTTCGTCTGGATAAAGAAAGAAATAATGCTATTGCTAGATATGGAAATGATGATAAAAACTGAAAACAATGTAAAAGATAATGTCATGGATACTGTGGAAGAAAAAAGCAAAGTGGCTGAAGTAGGAGTTGCCAGATATTTCTAAGCTATGGTTATTCCAGGCTTGGAATAATGCACAACTATGACCGTGATGTGCTCAGAGCATGTGAAAATATAATGAAATGAATTTCCTGGAGCTACATATGGTGCATATTTTTATATCTCTTGAGCAAAAGGAACTGAGATTAGAAAAAGTGGCAGGTCTGGTTCTCTTTTACATACGAATCTAACAGAAGTAAGTACCAACATGTGGGAAAACTTGAATTTACCAAGATGACACTACATAGTTGCAGCAAGTGTAGAATAAACATGGAAAGTAAGGGAACATGTGGTGGGTAGTGTGGTGCATGGGTTAAGCTGCTCCTTATAAAGTCGACATTCCATTTCATTGTGCTGGTTCATGTCTCAGCTATTCTGCCTCTGATTCAGTTCCTGGCTTAGGTGCCTGGGAAACAGATGATGACTCAGG